GAAGAATTGTAAGTTTGAATCACAGCAGGTTTGCAGCCCATTTAAGTCATTGGACCACTAGTCCTTTAGGAAACAGGAAAAAACTTTTTTAAAATACAGATGTGAACATGTATAATAATCCTGCAGAGATTTAGTTGGATACTGCCTTGGAATGATATGATTGCTTTCTATGGAGGATTAATTCAGTTCTCTCTTTGGCACTGAGATTATGCCCACAATATACTTCAACCTTTCAAAAATAAGTGCTTTATTTAAATTCAAAGTTTTACTTGGGAGAATAATTAAATTATATTTATTTTATCACTCAAAACTGTAAAAATATAAAAAGGATTCATTAATGTAACTGAAGAAGTACCACATTGTACATTGTCTTCCAGAGTTGCAAAAAAAGGAGGAGGAGGAGGAGGAGGAGGAGAAGAAGAAGAAGGCAACCTTTAAATATATTTTGGAGGTGAAAGTCTGCCTTCTGTACGAAGTTTTCAGGATGAAATAGGTTTAAATTGTTCCCAGTTCTATCAAAGAATGTTCTTAAATATTTTTTTAAAAAATCCAATCATAAATTCAGATTCATTTAATTATCCCCAAAATAGCAAGAAAAAAAATGGGTTTGTTACTAGAGGACACCATCATTCTGAGTTGAGTCAAGGTTACTGAAATGTGATCTACCTTATCTATAATAATAAAAGCATAATATGCTAATTAGACCAGACAGCCAAACTACCTTCCGGACAAAGCCAAAGCCAGGGCTGCGAGGAACGAGCTCCTTGCACAAATTTCATGCATCGTGCCTCTAGTTATATATAAAAATCTTTCATGATTGTTCCTATATAGGGACATTCAAGAAATAGAGAAAGAACTTTAAATTCTGATGAAGGCAAGGAAGATATAAAACAGTTATTTGAGGGGTTTTTTTGTGTGTGTATGTGTGTTTTGTTGTTGTTAATCCTCACCCGAGGATATTTTTTTCCATAGATTTTTAGAAAAAGTGAAAGGGAGGGAAGGAGAGAGGGAGGGAGGGAAGGGGGAGAGAGAGAGATCTATGTGAGAGAGACACATTGATTGGTTGCCTCCCACACACACCTTGACCTGCAACCCAGGTACATACCCTTGACTAAGAATTGAACCAGAGACCCTTTGGTGTGTGGGCCGACGCTCTCATCACTGAGCATTACTGGTCAGGGCTATTTGAGTATTTCTAATGCCTTCTCACTTTAATCTGAGATTTGTCTATATCTTTGGGTAAGATTGTGAAACCAATTCCAATCACTTCTCAAAATACATGTTCAACAATAGAGAACTTCCAAAAAATATATAAGAGCTGAAAGGAAAAGCTAACTATATACTAAATACTTGCTCCATAACAAAAATATTCCCTTTACTAATGTAGTCACATGAGTTCAATATTTTGTTAAACTGTCCTATAATCTTCATTTCCAAAACAAACCATACCAATACTAAACAAGACAGTATAAATGAACAAGGACTTGAATAGTTCTCCAAGATGATATACAAATGGCCAATAAGCACATAAAAAGATACTCAACATCATTAGCTATAGGGAAATGCAAATCAAAATCACAGAGATACTGCATCACACTCTCTTGAATGGCTTTTTTTTTAGCATGTTAGGTTGGGTTTTTATTTATTTCAGACAGAGGAAGGGAGAGGAAGAGAGAGAGAGAAACATCAATATATCTATTAGCTGCTTCCTGCACATCCCCTACTGAGGAGCAAGCCAGAAACTTGGGCATGTACCCTGACAGGGAATCAAATGGGCAACCTCCCATTGAGGTACCTGGGATGATCCTCAACCAACAGCCACACCAGCCAGGCTGACTATTTTTTTTTTTAATGAAAATAAGTGTTGTGAGGATATGGAGAAATTGGAACACTGGAGCATTGCTGGTAGTAATGTAAAATGATTCAGGTGCTGTGAAAAAAGTTAGGCGCTCCTCAAAATGTTAAACAAAATTACCATATGACCCAGCAATTCCACTCTTAGCTATATGTCCAAAATAATTGGAAAAAAAAGAGAAAATCAAACAAATATTTGAACACTAATGTTTATAGCAGCATTAATCACAATAGTGAAAAGGTGAAAACAATCCAAATGTCCATCAACTGATGAATGAATAAACAAAATGTGTTATACACAGATAGTGGAATATTATTCAACCATAAAAAGGAATGAAGTTCTGACACATGCATGAGCCTTGATATTATGCAAATGAAATAAGACAGTCACAAAAGGACAAATATTGTTTGATTCCACTTATATGAGGTACCTAGAATAGGTAAGTTCATAGTGACTAGAGGTTACCAGGGGTTGGGGTAGAGGAATTGGGGAATTATTGTTTATTGGCTACAGAGTTTCTGTTTGGAATAATAAAAAAATTTATGGATGCCAGTCAGTATGGCTCCGTGATTGAGCATTGACCCATGAACCAGGAGGTCATAGTTGGATTCTGCATCAGGACACATGCCAGGGTTTCCTGCTCCATCCCCAGTAAGGGGGCGTGCAGGAGGTAGCCGATCAATGACTTTTTCTCATCATTGATGTTTCTATATCTTTAACCCTCTTCCTTCCTCTCTCTGAAATAAAGAAAAATATATTTTAAATTTTTTATGGAAATGGATAGTGGTAATAGTTGCACAACATTGTCAACGTACTAAGTGCCAATGAATTGTATACTTGAAAAGAGTTACAATGGCAAATCATATGTATATCTTATTACAGTAAAAATACATTAAAAGATTCATAGTTTTTCAAACTTTTGTGGGTACTATGAGAGAGAGATAGGTAGAGAGAACAGTAATTTCTCAATGCAAGGAGGGGAAATGAGTTTCACATCAGTAATTTTAAGGGGGAGGTAGGAAAAGCCAGGTCACCTGGTCCACTTTCTAAAATCAAAACTGAGTAGAGATCCAAAATAACTATCAGATCAATATGAGCCAATGAAACTTGCCCCCTTTTCTATTTCTAATTTGTGCCTGAGTTAAAAGAACATCTTCCACTTAACTGCTTCTCAAGTTTTTTGGTTGTTTTTTCTTAATTTATTTCTTATTTATTGATTTTTTTAAGAGAGAGAGATAGAGACAGAGAGAGACTGATTTGTTATTCCACTCTTTTATGCATTAGTTGATTGGTTCTTTTTAAATTTTGTTATTTTTATTGATTTCAGAGAGGAAGGGAAAGCGAGAGATAGAAACATCAATGATGAGAATCATTGATCAGCGGCCTCCTGCACGCCCTCTACTGGGGATCCAGCACGCAACCCGGCATGTGCCCTTGACCGGAATCGAACCTGGGACCCTTCAGTCTGCAGGCTGACGCTCTATCCACTGAGCCAAACCGGCCAGGACAATTAGTTGGTTCTTGCGTGTGCCCTGACCAGGGATTGAACCCGCAACCCTGGCGTATGGGGTCCGTGCTCTAACCAAGTTGAGCGATCCGGCCAGCGTTCTAGTTTTCGTTTTAAATATAAACACCCTAAAAGGTGCTTACTGTGTTTACTTTTATCATCTTCAATATTTCAACGCTCACACATTTTTTTCAGCATTGTCTCGGAACAAAAACTTGTTTTTCTCTGAGATACCACATCTCTAAATGGGCCTGCCAATGGCTTGTCCGGGGCATATAGAAATGAACTTTGTTCAAAAGTTAACACCAAAATGGCTTCCCCCCTCGCTTCCTGGGACCTAGAACAGAGGGCGGTTCTCCCTCGGGAGTTTCCCAACACCACCCAATTCCATAAGGGTTTTCTCACCCTCTGTCAACGGGCACAGGTCTATTATTCTCCGGGCGGCTCCAAAGGATTCTGGGAGTTGGGGGAGGGGGCTCAGGGACGAAAAATCAAATGTTGGCACAAGATAGGTTTACGATTATCAGCCAGTTGCTGATCGACTTCTCAAACCTTTCGACCAGTTCCCTCACTTGTCTCACCCGGTAAGCCGCGTTCTTTCCCTTCCACGCCCCGCCCCTCAACTACGCTATTAGCCAATCATCGGGCTGGTGCTTGCCCGTCCGGGCCAATCCTGAACCCGTTTACTCTGAGCGGGAAAAGCTCAGAAGCTGCGAGAGAACGAGGTCGGCTAACCGCCCGCTCTCAGCCTTGTCTCTGGGGGGTGGAAGGTAACGGGCCCTGGAGGCAGTTGCCCATTGGCTAGGAAGCGGGCCAATGAGGGGGGTGCAAGGCGGGGGGCGGGTCTCACAGAAGGGGGCGGGCCGGTGCCGGGTCGCGAGCCGGGGGTCGGCAATATAACGGCCTCTCCCCCCCACACACCCTCCTTCCCCGCTCCGACCCCCCCACGCACGGACCTGCTCCAGGCAGCGCCGGGGGCGGCGGCGGCGGCGGCAGCGGCGGGGTGCGGGCTGAGGGAGCCGGGCCTCGACGCCCCCCCTCACCCCGGTGCCCCAGGAGCTGTACCGAGTCCCGGAGGGGCTGGGGGTCCCATGGAGGTGAGAGGCGGACACCCCTAGCAGCTCCCTCACCCTCCAGGCCTAAGGGAGGGAACTTGAGGTAACCGGAGGGGATGGTCAGGGTCTTGGGTGGCGGCCCGGACTTGGAGGATGGCGACGGTGAGAAGAGGCTGAAGAGAGGGGCGTCCATAGGCGCTGTTTTCTGAGGAGGTCGCCTCAGGGCAAGAGAGGGCAGGTCGCTTTTGAGGAACCTCGACGGGGCGCCCGGGCCGCGCCGCGGGAACGGGCTGAGGGCGCGGCGACAGATCGAGCGGGTGGGGCGTGGGGTTCGCGGCGCGGCTGACAGGACTGGCCGGGAGGCCGCGACGCCCGGGCTGCCGCTGCCGCCTCCACCTCGGGCGGTGGTGGGCGGGCGACTGCCGCGCCACCGACGGCTGGAGGACTGGGAGGGAACCCCCGGGACGCAAGCCCGGCCCCGAGTTAGTGTCCTCGCCGGGGATTCGGGATTAAGTGAGGCTGTTCGGGGAGCGGCCGAGGTGAACCGTAACGAGCCCTTTCAGCCCTGGCTTCGCACTGCGTGATGTCTCTCTCTGGTTTCCTATCCCTGCTCGTGCAGCCCAAGGTGGCGTTCCGCGGAGGTGCGAATCGCTGCTGGAACCTCAGCGCCGACGCCAGCGGCCGCCTAACGGATGTGCTCAGCGGCGTGATGTCCGGCTCCTCTTCCTTCTATGATTGCTACAAAGCGCAGGTGCATTCCTCCGCGCCGCCCCGTGTTAGAGGACGTATTCTAGTCAGAGTCAGCCACCTGAGCCGATTCATTCGGGTGTTAAAACTGCCCCATAACAACATTTCACAGACAGCGTTTGCAGAACACATGCTTTGCTTTGAAAACAAGTTAAGGAATAAGATTTTTAACTGATCGTTCTTTTCGTTCGTCTTCAATGGTGTCAGAAATGTACGAAAATACGTATTTACTTAGTGAGACCTTAAAAATACTTTCCCCCTCAAGCATTTGTTGTAAATCCGTACAAGCATACTTTTGATAATTTAAAGATGAAATTTTTGTCACTTCTTTATTCTCTGGCTTTCACGATGACCTTCTCACATTATATACTACCTTTTACCTCACCTAAAACATTTACATTTTGTTAGTCATATTACATTGGTTTTAGGCTAATGTAAGTCATTTTCATTTGAAATTATCTAACCAGGACACCAGTGTTGATATTGTTATACTTTGAATTATAAAAATATCCTGAAATAAGTTATTTAATCCACACATAGCCTTACAAAGTGTTATGCCTACTGTACAGATTGAGAAACTGAGGCTCAGAAAGCTTGTGTCCACAGTGACAAAGCCCAAGTGGGACCCAGGTCTTTTCACTGCCGAGACCAGCATTCCACCGCTCTCTATAATGTTTACATCGCTACTAAAATGTACTTGAATTTATTTTTAGTTATTTTAAGTCTATCAAGGATATAAGTGGTAAATTTTGCAGTTACCTGGATCTAATTAATATGCCAGCCCCAAGTATTTGCATATTTAATTTCTGTAAATGTTTTAACTGAAAGAATCCATATATTTAAAGTATAGTTATGTTTGAATTCACCACATTACTTTAGTTGCTTGTTTTATCCTGTAATATAAAATTTAAATCAATCTTTAAAAGATTTAATTTTTCTAATACTCAAAACTTATTTTAAAATGTGAAATGTACTTGAAAGAATTCCCAAAATGTATTTCGTTTCCAGTGCTCTTTACCTCATTTGATATTTGAATATGAAAATGCTCTTTTTGTTTAAGCAACTATTTAAAAATGAACAGGCCTGGCCCATGCGCACAGTGATTAGAGCAACGGCCTGTGCACCGTAAGTTCGCGGGCTTGCGGGTTCTGCGGTTTGATTGCCAGTCAAGGGCATGTACCTGGGTTGCAGGTTTGATCCTCGTGCTGGAGACAACCAATCCGTGCGTCTCTCACATCATGTCTCTCGCCCTTCCCCCTCCCTTTCACTCTCTGTATCAATGGAAAAATATCCTCCACGGGTAAGGATTTAAAAGATGGACAGTTACTTATGGCACTTTGGATACTTCACACCTAAAAGAGAGTTAAGGTGGGCCTATAACAAAAACTTTAGAACTAAAGGAATAAAGTTATGAAAAGTTCTAAAGATAAAAGTTACTAACATCTAGAAAGATAGTTTTTAGTGGCACTCTTTGCAAAATGATTGTAAAATATTTGAGATTCTTGAAGATGGATAATTGGAAGGTATTTTCATATTTTATTATTAAAGTATAAACTCAGTATTGTATGTTTAAAATGTTTTCAATTATGTCTATAAAAACAAAAATTAGGAATATAGGAATACTTTAAGTATGTCTTCTCTTTTTATGTACATTTTTTTCAAATGGGTTTTTATTGATTTTAGAGAGAGAGAGGAAGGGAGAAAGGAGAGACAGAAAAATGATGAGAGAACCATTAATTGGCCTCCTGCAACAAGCCCTACTGGTGACCTCTGGGTTCATGGGGCATGCTCAACCAACTGAGCCACACTGGCCAGAGCAATGTAAATTTTGATTAAGAGAATAAAAGCAGCCCTGGTTGCCCTTGCCAGTTGCTCAGTGATTAGATCATCCCTTTGGACTGAAGGGTCACGGGTTCGATTTCCAGTCAAGGGCAGTACCTCAGTTGCAGGTTCCCCCGCCCCAGTAGGGGCACATGGAGGAGACAACTAATCAGTGTTTCTTTTTCTCTCTCCTCCTCCTCCTCCCTCCCACTCTCTCTAGAAATCAAAGGGAAAAATATCCTAAAATATATCCTTGGGTGAGGATTTAAAAAAAGGGGGAATAAAAGCAATTAGAAAAAATTTTTAGTCAGGATTATATTATTCTCTATAAGTACAGAGTGAACAAAAGGTTTACAATTGTTTATATGGAAAATAATAAAATAATAATAATAATACAAGAATAAACTGTTTCCCATACTCACAACAGTAAACCTACATTTACCCCAGCTTGTATAAAAAAAATCATTTCTACTGTGTTATATCTGGATATTTGTAGTCATTATATTCAGGTTTTATTCCTTATTTGGAGAGTTAAAAGTTGTGAACCTATACTTTCAGACTTCTTTAAAGAAGCATTTTCTAGAATAAAATGCATCTAAGTGTTTAATCTTTGCCCTAGCCAGTTAGGCTCAGTGGATAGAGCCTCGGCCTGTGGACCAAAAGGTCCGGGTTTGATTCCAGTCAAGGGCATGTACCTTGGTTGCAGGCTCCTCCGGGCTCATGCAGGAGACAACCAAAGTGTTTCTCTCACATCGTTATTTCTCTGTCTTTTCCTCTCTCTTCCACTCTCTCTCAAAATCAATGGAAAAATATCCTTAGGTGAAGATATATATATATACATGTGTGTGTGTGTGTGTGTGTGTGTGTGTGTGTGTATAATGTTTAATCTTTTATTATTATATTCATTCTATAATACTATTTCAAGTATTTTAAATTATTTTTACTGCTCCTCAATAGTTTTTGGAAGGAGACAGGATTTTAAATAATTAAAATCTTAAAATTCAAACTTTCACCTTATTTACTCAGAGTTCATTATAGAAGTCTTCATGCAAAAAAGAAAAATTAACTGGCATTTTTTCTCCTAATTGTAATAATATCTTTAAATTTTTTGAAGAGATCATAACATTTTATATATCATCTCATTTTTATAATATCTCTTAGAAGTAAAAACGAGACTGAAAATTAAAGATACTGTTTTAAAATGCCCTAGAGCCAGTTGCTCAATGGGTAGAGTATTGGTCTGTGGACTGAAGGGTCCTGGGTTCAATTCCGTGTTCAGGAGGTAACCAATTGATGTGTGTCTCTCACATCTATGTTTTTCTGTCTTTGTCTCTACCCCTCCCTTCCACTCTCTCTAAAAACCACTGGGAAAATATGCTTGGGTGAGATTAACCAAAAATAAAATAAAATAAAGAAAGTGCCCTAGAATAAGAGTAAGAAGGCCTGGAGTTTGGGTTTTAGTTTTGTCACCTTGGGCTCAGTAACTTGTAGCCTCAGTTTTCTCATTTTTCTGTTTTAATAGAATACACATGTCACAGGGTTGACTGAATACAAGAATGTATATGAAGTTTGTTTGAAATTCTATGTAAATGTACATTAACTTTTTTAACAGATTGGGAACATTAAGACTTTTATAAATGATATGTGAAATATAACATTGCTAGTGTCCACATTATGTTCAACAAATTAAAACTGCAATAATTATAGGTGTTTTAGACTAGGTATAAGCAACAAGTACACCCAGGGGTCAGATTAGATCTGCCAAGTGCCTGTTTTGTGTGTGTGTGTTTTGTTTTGTTTTTTTAAAAAAACATTTATTGGAATACAGCTGTGTCCATTTGTTTCCATGTTGTCTGTCTATGGTTGTTTCCTTTTTTCTTTTTTTGTAACTCTCATCCACAGATATGTTTTTCCCCATTGATTTTTAGAGAGATTGGGAGGGGGAGAGCGAGAGAGACAGACAGCCCTGGGATCAAACCTGCAATCCAGGTACCTGCCCTTGACCAGGAATTGAACCTGCAAACCCGCCAGGGCTATCTATGGTTGCTTAAAGAGACATTAAAGGTCAGCAAACCCTAGTATTTGTTATCTGGCTCTTTACAGAAAAAAATTTGCCAATCCTTAGTATAAAGTAAGCTTAAATGGCTAAGTCTAGATTTGATTTTGTCTCCCAGCTCTTACACATGTGTTATTTCCTCCTATTTCTTATTATACCACTAATATTCTGTAATGTAGTTTTAATATGTCTGATACATAAGCATTTCTTTAAAATTTCAGAGTGAAGACAATGTTGACCTAAGGCAGACCTATACTCCACTTTCTTCATCAACTGAATATGCAAGTTCTGTAGATTCTTCAATTTTCTATGCACCATGGTCTACTTATGGAGATGATATTAAGCAGCCTTCTAATTCTCAGATTAATGTAAAGAACAGGTAAATTAATAAATTGTATTTTTCAGGCTAAATGAAGTGTTTTTAAGTTTGATTACATGGGAACCCAATTGTATTAGTTCTTTGTTCCCTATATCAGCATTTAATTTTGTTATTAATTTTTGTTATGGCATAATTTTATGTTTATCAAACTTTTAGGAAACCCTAAACTGGGCAGTTATTTATATATAATTTTAGCTTATTGCTGTTTTTTATTGATTAGAGACATACAATTTTTAGATGTTTTTTTATCCATTCTAAGTGTTCAGTAATTTCTTCCTTCACAAGTACTCAATAGACAAGATTTTTATCCAACATAAGAGACTTAAATTTTTTTTATCCTCACCCGAGGATATGTTTATTGAGAGGAAGGAAAGACAGAGAGAGAAACATCCATGGGATTCCTCCCAGTGCACCCTGACCGGGGATCAAACCCCAAACCTAAGTATATGCCTTACCCAGGAATAAAACCCTCAACCTTTTGATTTATGGGATGATGCTCCAGTTACTGAGCCACCTTGCCAGAGCTTAATTATTTTTTTATGCAATTTCACAAATAAGGGCCTACTCTGTTCCTGATTCTTTCCTAGTGGAGATAATAGCATTAAAATGGCAAATATTTATCCCTGCCTTTATACATTTTACAATACTGATGACGATGATAATTTGCCATGCACTGCAAGTATAGTGAGGTTAAAAAGAGAAAGTATAGGACATAGGAGCCTAATGCAAAAAGAAGCCTAGGGGGAGTGACATCTACCTTTATTTTAATTACATATAGGGGAGCAGTTGATAGAAGATGATGCATCTTTAGTTTAAGCAGAAAATAATTATTTTTTAAATCTTATTAATTAAACATTAAACTTTTTAAATTTGTGGTAAGTTCTCTATAAAATAGTGATTTTATTAGAAAGATTATATAATGTATAATTCTATCAAAACATATTTTTAACTTGATATGTGTTCATTAAAAAAATTAAAACTTTACAAAAATATATAAAGAAAATCATAAATCCACCTTAACCCTGCCTTCACACTTCCCAATAACAACTATTAATAGTTTATTGTATATTACATTGAATATTTTTAGACATATACTAATACATTATTATATAGAAAGCTTTATATTGAATATTTGTGAAACAACATGATATAGGGGGAAAAGACCATTTGTTTAGCAAGTAAAAGTTCGGCAAGTCATAAATCCTTGCAAAATAGGTATTTTTTTTCTTTTTTAAATATATTTTTATTGATTTCAGAGAGGAAGGGAGAGGGAGAAAGAGATAAACACATCAGTGATAAGAGAGAATCCTGGATTGGCTGCCTCCTGCACACCTCACACTGGGGATTGAGCCCTTGACCAGAATTGAACCCAGGATACTTCGATCCACAAGCCGACGCTCTATCCACTGAGCCAAACTGGCTAGGGCTGTTTCTTTTTAAAAAAATATATTTTTAGCCCTAACTGGTTTGGCTCAGTGGATAGAGCATCGGCCTGCGGGCTGAAGGGTCCCAGGTTCAATTCCAGTCAAGGGCATGTACCTTGGTTGCCGGCAGATCCCCAGTAGGGTGTGTGCAGGAGGCAGCTGATCAATGTTTCTCTCTCATCCATGTTTCTTAATCTATCCCTCTCCCTTCCTCTGTGTAAAAACTCAATAAAATATATTTTTAAAAATATTTTTATTGATTTGAGATAGAGAGGAAGGGAGAGGGATAGAGAGAGAGAAACATCAATGGGAGAGAAATATAATCCATCTGCTTCCTCCTTCACTCTCCCTACTGGGGATTAAGCCCTGACTGGGAATCAAACCAGTGACCTCTAATACAAGTTTCTTTTCTTAAATATATTTTTATTTATTTCAGAGAGGAAGGGAGAGGGAAAGATAGAAACATCAATGATGAGAGAGAATCATTGATTGGCCACCTCCTGCATGCCCCCTATTGGGGATAGCAACTCAGTCCACAGGCTGACGCTCTATCCACTTAGCCAAACCAGCTAGTGCTAATACAAGTTTCTTAATATCTCAAATGATCATTCATTCAACAGCTGAATGATTACTAGTACTTGCCCATCTTATGTTATGAAAATGAATGAAATGTTTTGAGTGTTATGCAAATATAAGGTATTTTTATTTCTAAAATGTCCTAACACTATTAAATGTTAGAAACAAAATATGAGAAAACAAGAAGTTACAATTAAAAAAAAAATATTACTTCTAGGAACAAATTACCCAAAATCCATAGAGGGTAAAAAGGCACCAATTTTTCATCTACTTACGGTTTTTACATTTTTGTATTATTTAGACAATGTTAGTCACCAGGTAGCATTTCAGGTACATGGAACTCCATTCATCTCTTTGGCAAGGACTTAGAGATAGCCCACAAGTCTGTTACATTTAAGGGACAACTGCAATAGTGCTGTGGTATCTAGGATGACCATATCACATTTTACTTTATAATCCAATCCTATATAATAAAACCCTAATTTGCAAATTGACCGAACAGCAGAACGACTGGTCACTATGATGCACACTGACCACCAAGGGGCAAACATCTGCCCTCCAAGAGGGAGGCAACCAACAGGCAGCGGCGACGGCGGCAATCGGGGGGCAGGGTTGGCTGGTGGATACCCCACCAGTCGACTCTGGCAAACCCGCAAACTGGCAGTCAGACATCCCCTGAGGGTGCAGGCCAGGCTGAGGGACCCACACGCACACACCCCATGCACAAATTTTGTGCATCAGGCCTCTAGTATTTAGTATAAAAAGACAAAAATCAAGCAACAGGTTCACATGGTTTTCAAATTACAAATAAAGAATCTGAGTAACTGTTGATGGGAGGATGTATAATAGGATTGGATATGCTTTCAGGAGCAGCCACAGTACAGTACTAAGCATCATAAGTCAGAGATTTATATTTTGGTCACCTAAAATGAATTGTGTTTTGGAGAAATAAGAAGTAAGCATACATTGTGAACTAGACAGGATTTGAAATGAAGGAGAGATATTTATGTAACATAGGAAGCTAAAATGGAAATTATTCTTGAGTTCTTGTTCCTTCTTTATTTGAAATTATGGTATAGATTCAATCCAAATATTTTATAGAAAATAATGGTAAGATAAATCTAGAAATAGAAATCAATATATTGTATTTCAGTGTGAGTAAAATAATTTGTCATGTAATATTTATTTTTTAGGATTCAAACAGAAAGAAATGACTATGGCAGTGAAACAGACTTATATGGACTTGTATCTAACATTTTGGAAGAACAAGATAAGTCACAGCCATATTTTGCTGACGGGTTAGTATATCATATAAGCTATACATTGTATAGTGAGCTTTTACATTCATATACAGGATGGCGCAAAAGTAGATTGACAGTTGTGAGTACATGAAACATGGTTTATTCTTGCTATTATTAATTATTGTATTATTTTCCATGCAAACAACTGTAAACCTGTATACTAGATTATCCTATTAACTTTTATTTTTAGTTAATAGAGGATCATCTGAGAGTAGACATCTTAATTCAAATACTTGTTTTTAGAAGTCTTGATTTTGCTGAGATCGTTGCATACAATTAAAAGTTTCAATCTAAGGTTTAATTTGCTATTAAGAACTTTCATTTGGAAAATTATTCTTGCATAATTCAGAGCTATTTCCCTTGAGTTCATGAACTAAAGTATAGCTTAAAGAGTATAAATTCCAAGGAGAATATATATATATATATGTATATATATATATATATATGGAATAAAACTAGCGTTTCTCCTGTGCAGAAACACATATGGGTTTTATTCATTTGGTAAAAATTTTTTAGATATACAGTGTTTTATTTGGGTGTTAAAGCCATATTACCCAAATGCTTTATTTCATAAATAGGGAAGTATGCAGCACATATGTAACCAAATAAAATACTTTAATTTCAATAATAGTTTCAACAAAACACATCTTTTTTCGTTGAAAAAATTGTGGCCAACAACACTTTTTGTATTATGTAATAACCTAATTTGTATTATGTAATAACCTAATTAAAGGAAAAACTTAACTTTGTTTTCTGTTTACTATAGATAAAATATTATGTAAGACTATGTAGTCATCAGCCTCAGGCCTTAGTTAATGCCTCTTGGAAAAGTATAATGAAGACATAAGAGAATTACTTAAATGTAATGGTAGCATATAAGACAAAGTTGAAAAGGATTAGAGAATGGGGAGGTGGGTGAGATAAATGTTATTGAAAACCTTTCCTACCTTTTCTACTAAGGACATAAAATCTTTTAAAGCCTAAGTTGTAATTAAATATATTTACTTGTTCTAGGACCTGCTCCTCCAATTTAAAGTCAGTTTGGCCAGTGAACACAAGCAGATTTGCAGATCACCATGACCTGTTAACAGAAACCAAAAGGCCAATAGATACAGCCATCTCTCAGCAAGCTTTTTATTCTGGTGAATCTGTGTCAGCAGTGGAAAAGCAGTACCTGCATAATAGTAATCTCACACCACAACAAAAAATAGATGAACTTTATCATGGATTTACTGGTTTAGACCTTGAAGAACAATGGATGTACCCCTCACGAAGTGATCATTCTAATTGTTATAATATTCAGACAAATGATACAGCTAAGGCAACATTCCAAGAATATCCATTTGTCAAAAACTGTTTTACACCACAAGCTGGCCTCTCTGAGGTCATGAAAGAATCAGGACCTGATACTTACCCTTATGGAAGAGAGAAAATGTGTGTTAAAAGTCTTGAAGCACCATTACAGCAAAAAAGGGCAGAGATATTTCTTTCCCAGTTTAATAGATACAATGAAAATGCAGATTATTGTAGATACCCAGAATATGCTCATCCTAATAAGGCTAAACTTACTAAGTGTTCAAATTTTAGTGTCCAAGATAGTAAAAAATTAGCCAATGGCACACCTGAAACACCAACTGTAGAAGCAGACAGCTACACAAAGTTATTTCAGGTTAAACCAGCAAATCAGAAAAAAATGGAAGAGACAATACCTGACCAGCAGAATTTCACATTTCCAAAAACTACACCACACCTGACAGAAAAACAGTTTGCAAAGGAAGCAGCATTCACTGCTGACTTTGGCTTAAAATCAGAATATGGACTAAAACCTCATACAGTTTGTCCAGCTAATAATGATTTCACTAATGTCACAGAAAAGCAACAGTTTGCTAAAGCTGACCCCCCAAATTCTGAGTATTTTAAATCAGTGACTTTATTGTCAAACTCAGCAACATCTTCAGGAGGTATCAACTTAAATAGGCCAACTTGGATGAATGTCCACACAAAAAGTAACGCTCCTATTCCTTATCGAAATCAAGGTAACTTGATGAAATTAAATAGTCATTTAAGTGCAGCTTCAAAAGGTTCTAACCATTCTTCAGATTTTCCCCAACTATCATCCACAAATTTAACTCCAAATAGCAATATGTTTCAGAAGTATTGCCAAGAAAATCCTTCAGCATTTTCTAGTTTTGATTTCAATTATAATAGTGCAGAAAGAATTCAACCTGTCAATCACATGGAAGGACTGACAAAGACTGCGGAAGAAAATCTCTTTGAATTGGTTACCGATAAAAAAATAAAGCAGCCAAATGGATTTTGTGATAATTACTCAGTTCAGCAGTATGGGATCATTGAAAATGTAAACAAACATAATTTTCAAACTAAGCCTCAGAGTGGACATTATGATCCTGAGGAAGGTCCAAAGCATTTAGATGCATTATCTCAAAATACTTATCAAGATTTGTTGGAGGCACAGAGTCATTTTAATAGCCACAGACAGGGAAGTGGAGACAACAATATTAATAGCCGTGTGAATCGCACACAGGCGTCATGTTTTTCTAATTATATGATGGGAGATGTAAGGCATAATCAGAGTTTTCAACAACTTGGTTCAAATGGGTTTCCCCTAAGATCCACCCAACCATTTGGCCATTCAGTTGTTCCACTCTTGGATTCCTATGATTTGTTTTCTTATGATGACTTAAGCCATTTATACCCTTATTTTAATGATATGATGTATGGTGATAATTCCTTTTCTGGTTTTGTGCCAACTTTCGGATTTCAAAGACCAATTAAAACCCGTAGTGGACCAGCCAGTGAACTTCATATTCGTCTAGAAGAATGCTATGAACAATGGAGAGCATTAGAAAAAGAGAGAAAAAAGGTAACACAAAGCTATCCAGTTAGGAGTAACATAGTATGTCCCCTACATCATCTTTTGTTTACCTTAGTGTACTTTGAGTACTTGCTTTATTTCTAAGCTGAATTCTTCTCTAATGGGCAATATTTGTTAAATCCATGACTATAAGGAATTAAGTGATTTAAAGTCAAAAAGCTGGTGTTGGGAGGAATGGAGACATCTGTAATAGTGTCACCAATAAAAATAAAGTTTAAAATAAATATGTAAAGAATAAAAAACTAAAAAAGTTTGGGGTTAAAAAGAATTGTTACTTATGTAAAGTTTATTTTGCCAATGAAGTAGACTTTTTCCCTAATGGGTTAAAAGTTAATTTCTTTTAATTTTTAAAGTATTAAATTGTTGGAGTGTCCAGGTATTTTATTTATTTTAAGTATGACAGAAAAATACTATGGTTTGTATTTGCTGCCTTTTGATACCAAAACAATTATTTAAAGGAGTAATTTTCAATCTGTTGCTTAGGCCTAAGAAAAATATTAATATTGAATCATATTTGGAAAATTCTTCATCTAAAAATTACATAATTTTTTACAGACTGAATTGGCCCTTGCCAAGAATTACCCAGGAAAAAAAGTATCCAGTACTAACAATACTCCAATTCCAAGGCTCACTTCCAACCCATCTAGAGTTGATCGCTTAATTGTGGATGAACTTCGAGAACAAGCCAGGGTAAGCTATAAAAACTTCCCAATAGTGGACTTTTAAATTGCTGGATAAATTCTTAAAACATTTCAGTAAGTTAGAATTCTAAAGGATTTTTTTTAAAATATATATTTTATTGATTTTTTTACAGAGAAGAAGGGAGAGGGATAGAGAGTTAGAAACATCAATGAGAGAGATCGATCAGCTGCCTCCTGCACGCCCCCTACTGGGGATGTGCCCGCCACCAAGGTACATGCCCTTGACCGGAATCGAACCTGGGACCCTTCAGTCCGCAGGCCGACGCTCTATCTACTGAGCCAAACCGGTTCGGCTCTAAAGGATTTTTAAATCACACTTATATGTAACTCTTTGAAGTATATTCTTTTCCATGTTTGGTCCTAGAACTGATTAATATTTAGAAAAGGGGAAATAGCCCCACTCATTTATTTAAAGCTAGGTTTAATAACTTAAATGGTTCCTCTTCAAACCCAAATTAAAAGTGGAGCTAATCAACAGAAAGAATTTTTTTAAAGCAAAACCATTTTGAATATTATTGATAGGGAAAGTCCCATTTCTTGGTCACAAACATTTGTTTTCTAGTGTGATGAGCAAGCTGTGCTTGCATTATACAGGATGGTAAATAGGGAATTACCATATTTCATTTCTTAACCCTGTATTCTTGTTATTCAACAAATAAGTATGCACAGCAGTGTATTAAATACTGATAAACTGATGTAGGTATGCATACTTTTATAAAACAGCCTTGTTTGGGGAAAGTAGTATGTCACTTCAAATAAAATGTTGGAGCCCTAACCGGTTTGGCTCAGTGGATAGAGCATTGGCCTGCGGACTGAAGGGTCCCAGGTTTGATTCCGGTCAAGGGCATGTATGTTGGTTGCAGGCACATCCTCAGTGGGGGGTGTGCAGGAGGCAGCTGATCAATGTTTCTCTCTCATCGATGTTTCTAGATCTCTATCCCTCTACCTTCCTCTCTATAAAATATCAATAAAATATATTAAAAACAAAACAATAAAATATTGTATAAAATACTGATATTAAGTCCTTTTGTAATTTAAGAAATTATTGTTCCTGCCCTAACCGGTTTGGCTCAGTGGATAGAGCGTCGGCCTGCGGACTCAAGGGTCGCAGGTTCAATTCCGGTCAAGGGCATGTACCTTGGTTTCGGGCACATACCCAGTAGGGAGTGTGCAGGAAGCAGCTGATCGATGTTTCTCTCTCATCGATGTTTCTAACTCTCTATCCCTCTCCCTTTCTCTCTGTAAAAAAAATCAATAAAATATATTTTTTTAAAAAAAAGAAATTATTGTTCCTATTATCTCTTTTGTAATTTCAGGATTTTCTAATCAATTTTAATAGAGTAAGGTAAAATTTTTTCTTTTTTATATTCCTCTCTTAAAAAGTCATAGCTTTCTAAGTAAAATCTGATGAAGATTCCTGAGAAAAAGCATGCAGTGAAATAGGGTGCTTTTATGATTGAGTGAAAGCCTCTTTAGGAATTAGAAAAATCAACATAAGTCTGTTTTATTGAACATCAGTTTCTTACTTTGTACCATGCTGTCTTAAAAACATAGATATGAACTATTTCAGTGGAAAATATTGACTTTACCTAGCTTTCAGCCTGGGTCAGTTGAGATTCTTTCATCAAATTTGTAAATTTGTACAATGGAATTTATCAATGTATATAGTCAAATACTGAGATGGATTACAGCCAGATGTTATGTTAATGAAAACTTCAGTCTCTTATTATATTTTAATATCATTCCAAGTTAAGATTCCTTTTTCTCAGTAACACATGTCTCAGCAATAAATCAAAGGATTGCAAACTGTGGATGTTAGGAAATATACTTTTACCAGTTTTTTTAAAAAAAATTTTTTTATTGATTTCAGAGAGGAAGGGAGAGGGAGAGAGAGAAACATCAATAATGAGAGAGAATCATTGATTGGCTGCCTCCTGCACGCCCCCACTGGGGATTGAGCCCGCAACCCAGGCATATGCCCTTGACCGCAATTGAACCCAGGACCCTTCAGTCCCCAGGCTGACGCTCCATCCACTAAGCCAAACCAGCTAGGGCTTACCAGGTTTGGTAATGTGTCACAATAAGTTAGAAGGTTATGTCTATAGCTGCCATAATTTTTTTAATCTATATTTAGCAACATTAGGTCAATAATATATAAAGGGGAAAATATTTTCACATGTACTATTTTCTAGTATGCTAGTTTTGTAGAATTCTGAAAAGAAATCTTTTAAAAGTTTATTAAAAATCACCGGTGCAAATTTTTTACACATCACTTATTCAAAATGATTGTCTTATTTGAAAAATATGTAATTGAAAGTTCATTGGAATATTTGATAATGGTTTTTTTCCTGTTATCATCCCTTCAAGGATCTAACTGGTTGTACAATTAGGAGGAAAGTATTTAGTACCTGTACACTTTGTTTTCTCTATGGGCCTAAACTCCTATTTCAAAGAAACTTGATATGAATGTGAGGGTAGAGGCATTGATTCAGATGCCTTCAGCTTCTTGAGAGGTATTTTACTACTCTTTCCAATCACTGAACACCAAGTGCTTATGTGAATTTTAAAGATTTTTTAAATTGATTTTTGGAAAGAGGAAGGGAGAGGGAGAGAAACATCGACTGGCTGCCTCCTGCACGCCCCCCACCGGGATCAAACCTGCAATCCTGGGCTTGTGCCCTGACTGGAAAACAAACCTGTAATCCTTTGGTGCAAAGGACAACACCCAACCAACTGAGCCACACTGGTCAGGGCAATTTTAAATCATTTAGTTCCCAAGGGCAATTACTCAAAAAGTTCTCTATCCTTACACCTTCCAAGGTTAGAATTTGGGAAACAAGTTAGGAATATGAAACATACTCCCCTTACTGATCTAATATACCAGTGCCCTTTTAAAAGTGTAATTAACCAGAAGATTGAGAGATTTCCTATTTTTTCTTAGTTCTGATAATTATAGGATTTATTTTTTTTATTATTTCAATTTAAGTCAACATTTTCTGGATTATGGATTCTTTAAAACTGCCACTAGCTCAGTATCATTATCTGAATGTTTCTGATTTCCAAAAGGAGAACACTAGAGGCCCACAAAGGACTTGCTGAAGTGAGGATTAATCAGTCTAGGATTTCTCCCTTTTAGCTTATTTTTTTCCCCTTTAGATTATAGTATCTCCTAATAACACTATTTGCCAAAAACAGTGTTGGATCTTATATTTGCACTTAACTGTTAATGACACGGGAACGTTTGAATGTTTGACTTTTCCATTGTTGTTTATTCCCATCAATTGATTACCTAAAAGCTTTTAGAATTAACAAATACAAGTAGGTACAAAAGACAGACTTTCCATCTTTGTAACCCTCAACATGGTATCAGGACACAATAGGCATTCAGTTATTTTTTTTTTTTTTTAAATATGTTTTATTGATTTTCTACAGAGAGGGAGAGGGATAGTCAGAAACATCGATGAGAGAGAAACATTGATCAGCCGCCTCCTGCACGCCCCCTCACTGGGGATGTGCCCGCAACCAAGGTACACGCCCCTCACTGGAATCAAACCCGGGACCCCTGAGTTAGCAGGCCAACGCTCTATCCACCGAGCCAAACCAGTTCTGGCTAGGCATTCAATTATTTATTGAATGAATATTATTACTCTCATGTCTATTCTGCTTTTTTGAAGATTTGTTTTTACTTAAGTTAATGACAGGCAATGTGGTTACATGCCTTATCAAAATTTAAAATCTTTCCCTCAGGTTGTAACTTTACTAGGCAAGATGGAACGTCTTCGAAGCTCTCCCCTTCATGCCAATATCTCTACTGCTCTTGATAGACACTTGGAATCCATTCACATTGTACAGTCACGTAGAAAGGATGAAATTGTTAATGCTTCAAATCGTCAAAAGCAAGGAGTTCCTAGATGCCAAGATGACAGAGGTACAAATATTAATGCATATTATTTTGATAAGGCAGTGAGATAGTTTGAATGTTAATAAAATCAGATTCTAAGGTTAAAAGGTCAGGATCCTAAAATTTACACTTATCTAAAGAATAAATTGGTAAAGATGCCCACATAATCTACTCCAAAAGTACCTTGATCTGTTTTGTTAACTTGATCCACTTATAATTCCATCAAAGTCTGTGTTATACCCAAAGCATAGTCATCATACAAGTCAGAATAAAGTGTCAACACTTTTACGTACATATTAAGTCAAGAACTTTGATTAATTTAGTCAATACCTACCCACCCTTCTTTTATAAAAATTACTAGAGGCCCAGTGCATGAAATTCATGCATGTGTAGGGCCCCTAGGCCTGGCCGATGATCAGGGCCAATCGGGGCCTTCCAGCTGCTGGGTGGGGCCGTCCTTCATTCTGCACCACCACCCCTGGTGGTCAGTGCAAGTCATAGCAAGCAATCAAACTCATGGTTGAACTCCCTAGGGGACCCTTTCATATTAGCCTTTTATATATATAGATGATGTTTGATCATTTAGTAGCTCAGCACTGGGCTTTAAGAGGTAAGGGAAACTTAAATGGTAGCTAATGTGAACTGACTCTAAATGTTTCTTTTACAGATGTTTTTGCCCTTGCTGCAGCAATTAAAGAGATGTGTGTGGCTACTCGGAAGGCACGCACTACTCTGTGGTGTGCACTGCAGATGACCTTGCCTAAAACAGCCAATACAACTGGCCAAACAGATGTGGAAAAGGCTTTACAAGATATAAATTGTGAAGATAAAGTCCATGAAAGCATAAATAGTAGCAATCCAATGAATCAGAGAGGTGACGCAAACAAACATTAAGGAAATGCCAGCAGAAAGAATAAAAAGCTAATAAGTAAATGTATCAAGACATGCTAAACAATTGTAATGAACTTGTCAAACTTGAAAATTTCAATGCATTTTTTCAGATTTAGAGTTTAATATCTTAATGAAGTCTAGCTTCAATTTAAAAATCTATTTGGAATGAATCAGTTATAGTTTAAAGTGAACTCAAAGGGAACGTTGGACTACTCAAGAGTTCTGAGTAGTCGAAGATAAGTTTAAGCAAATTAAATATTTCCTAACAGCTAAAGTATTGCTTAAACCTATTCTGCAGTGCAGGTAAATGCAAATGTGAAATTCTTCTAGAAGATAAGTTTCATTTAGGTCTGCCTTAGTAAGTATAATTCCAAATAATGAATCTAAATGACTGTAACCCAATTATGGCTACAGTCTAGTAACCAAGACAAGTTTTGATTGTGATTTAAAAGTGTTTTCCTTACAAAACTGGATAATACCTAGGAAACAAAGGAAAACAAGAATGAACCCAATATTCATGTAAATTTTTAATATTTAAACTACTACCATATTTATAATTTGAAATCTTAGTGCCTAAGTATATGGAGGGAAATGCATCTGATTCTCCTAAATTAGTGATAAAAGTGCCAGTGTAAAAACCATGCAAGTTACTGAATATAAAATCTGTTCAAATCATTTGTGTATATTCTTAAAATTTAATTATACTATCAATTATTAAATATTTCTAATTTTAAAGTATTTACATTGAATCGAAACAAAACAGTTCCTTTATCTGGATCTTTTAGATTTGATGCACAGTAACTAAAATAATGACTATTGTTTTAATACCCTTAGTTGCTGCCTTTTATGAGGGTATCACGAAGTTTTAAAATGTATTTTTTAAGGTTAGCCTTTAACTAGTTTAGTTTGCAATTGGTTAGTGTCTATTTTGTGTAGTTGTGTTCATTAGTTTGCTTCTGTATTTTTTAAGAGCTCTTGAAAGCTTGGCTTTTTCTGTTTCTCATCACTTAATATCTTTGTATGGAACCCAAGTAATTTATTCATTAATATGAAATGTTGATATTATGTGACTCAGATCTTGGGTTTTAACATTTCTAGCATGAGTTAAACTATGATATAATGTACTGATGAAATTTAATTGAACTATCCTTGACTAGAAACACTGATGTTTTAAATGTTGGTGTTTTTCCTAGTTTTAGAAATCCTGGTATAAAAAGAGTGTAATCACACCACATAAATTTTCTTTAGATGATGTGCGGAAGAAACTGATTGAGAGATTTCAGGAGTAACTGTGGGGAGAAACATTTTGATCACTGATATGCCTTAGAACTACCAAATTAATTACATTGAAGGTAGTCAAATAAAATAGATCACCCCACCAGTCACTGCATAGAAAGTGGTTAAGTTTGACATAAGACATGTTGGATGTTATAACAAATATTGTACTAATTTAGTCTCTCAGGAAAAGAAAATAAATTATTTTGTTGAAAATATTTGGTTTCATTTTTTTCATTTGTATTAGTTTATAACGAAGAGTCACTCATGTCAGAATACCAAATTTCAGCCCTGGCTGGTTTTGCTCAGTGGATAGAGCATCCACCTGCAGACTGAAGGGTCCCGGGTTCGATTTCAGTCAAGGGCACATGTCTGGGTTGCGTGCTCAATCCCCAGTAGGGGGTGTCCAGGAGGCAGCCAATCAATGGTTCTCATCATTGATGTTTCTCTCTCTCTTTTCCTCTCCCTTCCTCTCTGAAATCAACAAAAATATATATTTTTTAAAAACACCAAATTTCATTTAACTGATAAAAACTGGTTTTAAGTTTTCAATTTCATTACAATTAACACATAAGTAAAAATGTTGGTAGACTCCCTAACCAGTTTGGCTCAGTGGCTAAGAGTGTCGGCCTGCGGACTCAAGGGTCCCAGGTTCGATTCCAGTCAAGGGCATGTACCTTGATTGCAGGCACATCCCCAGTAGGGGGTGTGCAGGAGGCAGCTGATCGATGTTTCTCTCTCATCAATGCTTCTAACTCTCTATCCTCCCTTCCTCTGTAAAAAGTCAATAAAATATATTTTTTAAAAATGTTGATAGACAAACCAATATCATTCATATTATCTTTTAATCTAACCTTACCTCCTTCAAGATGAAACTTCTGCTCCCACTTTATGCTGATCCAGGCAAACTAGGGTAAAAATTCTAGGGAAGCTTTGACATGATAGTGGTCAAAATGAAACATTAGTCCATTAACAAAAACCAAACATAAAAATTCTTTGAAATTTCATTAATCATGTCACCCTGTAGATAATTCTCAAATTAGTTGGTTGTCCCTTTCTATGGTATACCTGCTAATGGATGGCTCTTATGTATTGTACTTCTGAATTACAACCTATGAAAACTTTATAAACTTAGTATCACACAAGACTTGTAGTGAAACTGATAAAATTGATGCTTCCATCATTTCTAATCCAAAAGAATTTGGCATATACTCAAATTTTTTTAAAAATTAGAAAAAGCGACATAGAAGCAAGGAACAGATTGTCGAACCTGAGGAAAGGTGAGGAAGGGTAGGTGGGTAGGAAGAGATCAACCAAAGAACTTGCATGCATATATGCATAACCCATGGACACAGACAATAGGGTGGTAAAGGCCTGGGGTAGGGGATAGGAACAAGCTAGAAGAGGTCAATGAGGGAAAAGGGGGGACAATATTTTCAACAAAGATTTTTTAAAAATAGGAAAAGTACTTTTTATAAAAGTGAGTGAAAACTACCTTGAATTACATCAGTGTTTTTCCCATTTGAATGGGAATTATTACTGAAATCCCAAATGTGGCTTTAAAGTATCAATCATACCATGTGATATTGTTTAAAATTTGTCTTTTGCAATACTGAACATTTTAGATGTAAAGGATTTGTTAGCACTTGAGTTAAATGAATAAACTTAAAGCCTAATGAACTAAAAAAAATAATAGCCTAATGAGCTGATCTTTTTTTTTCTGTTTAAACATTAGTTCAAGTGTACACTTAACATACATTGAGCAAAAGACATTAACGGGTTCCAAAAATTGCCAGCTCTGGGGCTCTAGTCAAAAACCATGGAAGCTTCTGCTTAACTCCACACAAAGAACCCAAAGAGCAACATGCCATGGTCTAAATGGGCTTGTGCCATACCACTTTAAAAGAGCAGATATGAGCTAGCAAACAACAAAAAGACTGGCTATGCAGCCAAACACCACTGATCATAAACACCAAACTAATGCATATACATAATAGCATCCCAGAAGAAAGAATTAACTGCTGCTATAGCAGATTGAATGTCCATGGATATAACCCAACTCTGATCCAGAGACCCAATCAAGGTGAGAATCAACCAAAAATAAGGATTTACTAAATTAAAATGCACGCTATCTGTAAACACAGGCTATTGCTGCTGCCACATAAAGCTCTAAAATTCCAACAGTACTTCAAAGCCAATTTACTGACTTTCCAAAATACAAGGTAATCTTTCTGATCTCCTAATACCCAACCTCACAGAAAGGAAATCTGAGGCAGAGAATTTATGGATTTCAGGAAGTTCTGCTTGTAGAAGTTATTAGGGCTAAGCATAAAGTAAAATTCAACACATTCCTAAGCACAGAATTCATCTCCATAGGTAGCTGAAAAGAATCAGAATAAATCAGAAGACACTGATTTAAATAAAGTTTATTTTTTAAAAAGGTTATTTAATTTTGCGAATGCCACGGTTATAGGAGTGTATAGTGGTAACACATCTTTTCCTTAACCATGCTTTTTACCTTCTGCACAAAGGTAAAAACTTTTGTTAATCTCAATGGTATAAAACAGAGGTCAGCAAACTTTTTCTCCAATGGTTCAGATAGCAAATATTTTAGGCTTTACAAGCCACATAAGGTCTCTGTCATATATTATCACCCCTTTAAAAACATAAAATCCATTGTTAGCTTGCACCATACAAAAACAGACTAGGCCAAATTTGTCTTGCAGGCAGTAATTTGCTGACCCCTGGTATAAAATATCTACTTTGTTTTGTTGGAGAAATTGCTCTCTTCAGACTTGACAGTCTTGCCTGAAGGAGAAAGGCCTGATTTCAAATTGAATGTAATTTGTGACAAAAGTAGAAATGGAGAGTTCCTGCTCACTTTTGACTCTCCCAAGCAATTTTCCCACTCACTCACTCACTCACTCAATTAATTTGTTGAGCACCTACTATGTACACTCTTAAATATCTTTGTGTTAACAGATTTCCAGTGTTTCTTCCTGAAAAGGCAGTTCCTCCTCACCTGTAATTATCAGGTCTTTATACCCGTGTTTTAGGGCAAATCAGGACTAAAATCTCTACTAGCAATCAAGAGGAATCTAGCTAACAATGATATCCTTGCACACAATACTGACACACCCTTCTTAAAATCACATCCTAGAGGAAAATTATAACTATTATTACTTTAAAAAGATACTTCCTTTCCTCCCATAGGGTACTTTTTTAAAAAAAATTCTCAAATCTAGAACATCCATCAAATAATTTCTTCTCATTTTCCTAGTTTGTTGCCATGCAACATAAAGTCTGACTCTTCATTAGCTTTCTATTTGAGTCTTAAAAACAATACATTTAGGAGTGAATAGTACTTCTGAAGCAATTTACACTCCCACATTTCATCTCAGGGAAGGAGTGGTCATGATTCTGCTCCTTCAGGATAAAAACTGTAACCGTCAACTTTCTGAATATTCCTGCTAGTTTATCCAAGGTGAGGGAAGACTTTTGAAAGTGGCCAAAAGGAGCACAGCACTTCGGTACTAAAATAGAAAGGTTGCCCCCACTCCAGATCTTTGGTACTGCTAACTACAACAATCTGAATACCCAGCACAGAAACATGGAACATTTTGTAATTAGAAGTGTTTGTGATTTTCCTTTTGACCATGTAAACAAAAGGGGAAATGCCTTGAGAAACCAATCTGCAATGCTCTCTCATTTCTCTTAAATTACTCATGTGCACAACCAGTTCTCCCTTTGATCAGTTCACGAGGAGAAAGAAGAGAGTTGACCAAGGTTATCGCTTTCGTTCCCCTTTCTGTGTCCTTTTCTTTTCCTTTTCCTTGCGCTCCTGCTTGGCTAATTTGTCCTTTTCCCTCTGCAGCTTGTCCTGTTCCTTCTTCCTTTGGGACTCATCTCGAAGCGAGTCTCGCTCCAGTTTTCGAGCATTGAGGACATCTTCCACATTGGTATTTCGGAACAGAACTATAATGAGTTAAGGGATTAGGGCAGAGGTCACACAGGCCCAGCTATTGCTCTCTCTCTCTTCATTCTTGCTGTTTACTCTATATGCTGAGTCTTGAATACTTTCTACCTATTCCTAGTTGTTGTTGTTTTTTTTAATCCTTGTTTATCTTTGGTCTAATGGGAAATCCTACAACTATCGTTACAAAAGTTAAAAACTAACCCTCAGAATAAAAATCTATTTCAGCCCTAGCCGGTTTGGTTCAGTGGATAGAGTGTCGGCCTGTGGACTGAAGGGTCCTGGGCTCGATTCCGGCCAAGGGCACATGCCCAGGTTGTGGGCTCGATCTCCAGTGTGGGGCGTGCAGGAGGCAGCCAATCAATGATTCTCTCTTACCATTGATGTTTCTCTCTCTCTCTCCCTCTCCCTTCCTTTCTGAAATTAATAAAGAAATATATATTTTTTAAAAATCTATTTCAGACTTATCTAAATATTTTATAAAAATAAAATTTCATTCTAGAGTAAGTACCTATATCATTCAATGGCAGAATATTGTTGTAGTATCTATGCTAGTTTTAGTGAACAGAGTATTAATATAAATGGCAAAATTATTATGTACTTGGCACTGTTAAAATGCTTGAAGAGTAAAATAAGTTGTTTAATATTATTATATCAATTTGTTTTCCTAGATCACTAAAGCATTAATGAAACCATGTTCTATTAACCACAAACTCTGAATTTATAAAATAGTAAGTTTAGCCACAGTTAGAAAATACCCAGCCAAAAACTTTACCCTTCATTTCTTATGACTTTAAAAACATAACCTGTTACTACCAGACAAGCTCTTCTCTACTCTTAAAACATAACTTTTTCT